AGTAAATCAGCTGATTAGAGTGGCAGCAGGTGTCTTCTATATTCAGCCTTTTCAGAATATTCTAATTTTTTGAGATACCAAATTTGGAGTTTTCATTAGTTGTCACTTATGAATATCAAATTTAAATGTAATGAACATTGGAAATACATTGGTCTGTGTGCATTGCATGAATATAATGTACAAGTTTCACGTTTTGAATGGAATTACTGAAATATTTTCAACCTTTTGATGATATTCTAATTTACTGGCCAGCACCTGTATTTTTTCATCAAGTTGGCGCAGTGATAGGTAGATCTTGTCGTATTGTTGTTGTGTCCCATTTTTTTGTCCTTTTGCTTTTTTTTGTCTTTTTCTGCAGGTCTAGAAGCAGACTCTTGTTCCTTATTTATTTTTGTGGACCCCCCCCCCCCCTCTCCCCACCTATTCTTTTCCTTTCTCTTTCACCTCTGTCTCCGTGTCTGGTCGGAATTACAAAGCATTCAACAACAATAGCAATAACGTTTTAAGTATCAGGCGTGACATTAAAAGCAGACTCTTTGATGCTCCACCTGAGAGTAAATCTGTAAGGCTTGTCACCAGCATTCAGACATCAAATCTGCTTGCTTCACAGCCAGACAGGACACGGTAAAAAAAACTAAATAAAACTAAATAAATAAATAAAACAACACCGAAAGCCATGGTGCAACAGCGTGAAGCAATTGCTTCACAAATACTGGGAGCCTCAGGTTTGTGAAGTGTTATAGCACAAAGAGATTACTTGTAGTTAAATATATTCATTGTCAATCACAAATTTTACTGTATTTGTAATAGTGTTCGAGGCAGAAAACAATTGTGCCATGTGTCCAACTCCAAAACCACCTTTTCCAGGGCCTTCTATCACCAAATGGGTAAGACAGATTTGTAATTGAGGATATTATTTAACAAAATGTATTGTGTACAGTTGCTTTTGTTATTTGGTTTTTGTATTGAGGAAGAGGGGAAATTTAGCCTAAACTTGCATTAATTTTTTTTGCCTTGGTGTGTTAGTCATTTTGAATAATTGACATGTAAAGAAAATATGAAATACATAGTAATGGCAGATTAATAAAGATATTCATGTTAAATCATGTGACAAAATAAATTTTTTAATTTTTGGTTTGTTGAACATTCACAGATCCAGTGTGACAGCTGTGCAAGGTGGTTTCACAAACAGTGCTTGCAGATGAACACAGAGCTGTATCTGAAGGCAGAGGCTGCAGAATGGGAGTGTGCACTCTGTGAAAAATAAAAAGTCTTATTTCATTTGTAAAATGTATATATGTCATGGTCTGTGTCTGCATCTCCCCTCATGCTTCTCCCCTGATTAGTCATTGCCTTCACCTGGTCCTCCTCCCACATCCCACACACCTGCAGCTCATCTCCCTCTCATCCTCCCTGTGTATTTAAGCCCTGTCTTGTCTCAGTGTCTTGTCTGTCCTTTGTGGTAATTCTGTTCCTCGTCTCTAGTTTGCTTGTTCTTCTTGTATCTCTGTTTTTGTATCTCAAGTATTAGATTTTGAACATTTTGGATTTTGGCTCTCTGCCTTAGAGTTACCTTTGTTTTTGACTCACCTTTAAATAAAGTATTTTACTTATTCTCATCCCTGCCTCGTGTCATCTTGGGTGCTGCATTTTGGGTCCTACAAACCAACCTTTCAACGTGACAATATAAGGTTGACTAATGTCATGTGATTTCTTATTTGCATTGATAGAAAGTGAGGAACAGGTGTAACTACTATTTAGAAATTTTGTATGTGTACATATAAAGGTTATGTATTTCAGAACTGTAAATACAGCTAGATCATTTTGATTTTGCATTGCAGTCTTTTTCATTTTAATACCTTTTGTAAAAAAATTACACTAAATTAAGAAGACAATGTGATTATCGCAGTTTGGGTATGTGACACAACCGTTTCTGCATTTGTTTTGGTATTTGTTGATACAGATTACTATTGATTGAATAATTGTAATTGCAGTTTTTGCTGTTATTATTTACTAGTTTTATTTTGTCGATACTTTATATAACGTTCTTCTAATTCTCCATGACAGCTCATAGTTGCTCAGTCTTTACTCCTTTGTTTACATAGATCCTTTTGTGTCACCTCCCATTACGTTCCAGTCTCCCTTGTATGTTAATGTTGTGAAGTTAATATGACGTATACAGGGAGTGCAGAATTATTAGCAAATGAGTATTTTGTCCACATCATCCTCTTCATGCATGTTGTCTTACTCCAAGCTTTATAGGCTCGAAAGCCTACTACCAATTAAGCATATTAGGTGATGTGCATCTCTGTAATGAGAAGGGGTGTGGTCTAATGACATCAACCCCCTATATCAGGTGTGCATAATTATTAGGCAACGTCCTTTCCTTTGGCAAAATGAGTCAAAAGAAGGACTTGACTGTCTGAAATGTGGCACACAGGTACAGTAGGTGTTCCAGAGTAAGGATGTGGTGAAAGTTGTACATCAGCTATGAAGGATGATTTTTTATGAATTTTTGAATCTTTAACCAGACTGTCACGAGTGTGGACTTAATATAAGTTTGCTTTAATATCTGAAGATTTCTACAGTAAATCTGTCTGAAATGTGGCACACAGGTACAGTAGGTGTTCCAGAGTAAGGATGTGGTGAAAGTTGTACATCAGCTATGAAGGATGATTTTTTATGAATTTTTGAATCTTTAACCAGACTGTCACGAGTGTGGACTGAATATGAGTTTGCTTTAATATCTGAAGATTTCTACAGTAAATCTGTCTGAAATGTGGCACACAGGTACAGTAGGTGTTCCAGAGTAAGGATGTGGTGAAAGTTGTACATCAGCTATGACGGATGATTTTTTATGAATTTTTGAATCTTTAACCAGACTGTCACGAGTTGGGCAGTTCCCTGTTCAAAATGTGGTACCGTAAAGACTGTTGTAAACGCGCAATGAAATTTTCGCAGCGGATAAGATGCGGCTGGCTTGACCGCGGTTCTGCCGAGCCGGTGTCGGTACCGGACTGAGCTCGGTCACTGGGTCGATGGAGCTGCCCCGTGACTGCCTGATGGAAAACCAGCGGGTTTCATCAGACTCGTAGTTTCTTGTTTTTGCTGGGACCCCCTGTATTTTACCGCTCCCTCCTGCAGTCTTCCCCTATTAACATTTAAAATGATTCTGTAAATCCGCGTATCAATAGAAAAAATCTCTGCCTCTGCCAGCTGCAGTAAATGTAGTTTCCAAATAATAAGAGGTGCACTCATCTGTGTATCTCCTTTGATCCGCATTACTGATATTCTCAGCACCAGAACAGGGAAGCAAAGAAAGATTCCTGAGTTTGTTAGTCATTTTATTTATTAGGTGCATCTAACCTGTTCTATTTTTCTCTGAAATGAGATCAAATCAGTGCTTCTATGGGTTGTCTCCAATCTGCACTGGAAATTTTTACTTTATTTAGAGACTTGTTGCAGAAAATATTCAGAATGCGCAGTTTTTTGCTACCACAAGCGATCTCTGGCCCAGCCGCACATCAGAGCCGTATTTGAGCTTAACTATCCACTACATGAGCAACTGGGAGCTACATAGTATTTTGAACAAGTTAATGTTTGCACAATACGTTTGCAATTGACATGTTTGCACTTTAAATATGTTTACGATTTTAATTTATGTTAAGTTACTTGAAAAACGAGAAAAACTGATTTTTGTAATTGTTTCTCTCAGGGCTTTTATCATCTCTGGTGTGAGTTTAAAATATGTGTGTTAGCACTGTGTTGATTATCCCTAACATGAATAAATGTTTATTTATTCAATGTTTCTCTTCTTTAATACGCAATTGAAGTTATGCTATTCATGGATAAAAAATCGTGATAAAATCGAAATCGTGATAAAATATTGGAAAAATCGTGATATTCTATTTTTGCCATATCGCCCAGCCCTAGGTCAGACCCAAACACAGAAGAGCTGAAGCTGGGTGGTAAACACACACGGGTAGTTCTAATAACACCTGAGCGCCCATGACGTCTGAGACGGATGTAACCAAAATACTTTCGTTATATACCACCCTGGGGTTGACGTTTTAAAACTTAAACTACTTCAATGGTGCCCTATAAAAAGTTAAAGACATCAGTACTTCTGCTGAGGATGTAGAAATAAACCACTGATGACAATCTGAAGCCAAAAACTACTCACGTAAAAGTAGCATTACCTTAAAATACCTTTAAGTAAAAGTAAAACATAGTTGTCAAAAAACAAAATACTCCGGTAATGGTATAAAAGCTACTCAAGTAACTGTTTGAGCATAACAGCTGATTTAATTGGGTAAAAATGGTAAATGGCCTGTATTTGATATAGCGCCTTCTAGAGTTCTGGAACCCCCCCCAAGGCGCTTCACAACACAATCACTCATTCACCCATTCACACACACATTCACACCCTGGTGGGGATGAGTACAATTTGTTTTAAATTGTTCTATAAGATAAACATATAAAGGTTGAGGTTAATAGAAATGAGTACAGAAAAATTACTAAATTATTTTAACCATTACAAAAAGCGATTTTAAAGGTGCATTATGTAGAAATGAAGTAAAAATGACATCCTGTGGTAAAATTTGGTTACTGCAACCACTTTAAACAACTCTGGAGCGTTTTGCCGTCCGTTGCCAAATTACAGTCGTCGGCGCTGCAGTATTAGCTCGCAGGAGACAATGTCACACTCACTGATAAACAGTAGTTACGTCCCTCCTTCCTTTGTTTTGAAAGGAGAAAAACTGACAATCTCTGCAGCTGGATATAAAATAAGTTTCAGTATAACCTTCCTTTCATAAGGATCTTCCTTCTTTTGGGGATTTTCTCGTTGCACATATTGCACCTTTAGGTCAATAAAACTTGATGTAATATTCCAGGCCAGAGAGCAGAACTGTTCTGAAGCCAAAAAGGCCAACTCTAGTGGTAAAAACCCATTGCTCTAAACGTGACCCCACACAAACAGCTGTTCTGTGGTGTTTAACCTGTGCATCCAGCTCCATGATGTGGGACACCTTGTTCCAGCCAAAGCCCACAAAGCGGCGGTCGTACTCGGGACAGTCCCTCCTCACCATCACGTAGGGCTCAAAGTCGGCCTCCCACTGCACCCTGTAGGGTGTGGTGGCCGTCCGCCATTTAGCAAAGTTAGTCGGTGCGTGGCCTTTAGTCCAAACATGGTACCTGTGAGAAAGACAGGCTTTAGAAGACTGATGTGAAAACACAGTGTATGCAGAATAAAAGCATTGTGCACCTAAAGGTGAAAAGCGTGCCCATGTCCAGCTGAGACAGCAGCTCAGCCTTGGACTTTGGGAAGGACAGACGATATCTCAATGTCTCAAAGGCTGGGACCACTAGAGCCTTTTTGGTGTTGGCCATGTCCATCTGAACAACCGACTTCCTACAAAAGCAGACAACCATTAAAGCCACGAAATGAAGAGTGAATATGATGGGTCTCTTGGACAGAAATGCTGCTACCTGAGGTACTCGTAGAGGCCGTACATGGGCAGGAAATCGATGTCTGATAGGAACATGTAGGGTGAGTTGACCTGCTGCATGGCTACGTTCCTCAGCAGGTTCACAGGGTAGAACTGTCCCTCTTTGTAGACTATGTGGTAGCCTACGTTCCAACGGCTCATGAGCACTTCGGATCCCTGAGCGTATCGTAGAAACTGCTGGGCTTCGGCATCGGAGAGGTACAGAGCCAAGCTGATGGGACCTTCCCAGTGCTTACAGATGGCCTCCAACATCTGGAGCCTGTAGGACAGGAAGCACCATCAAAGCTACACTCAGGCTAGCTTTGTTAGCTCAGTTGTGCAAATCATGTTACAACTTATTCCCTAAAATCTGTTCTCAGTTTACCTTCGTATCAGTAACAGACTGGATCTGACTGCTTCTATTATGGCTCAATCATATAATTCACTTCAACTTCCAACAGCTCACATTAACAAACTTCTGATGGTCTGGATCCTGGATCAGTGTGTACATCCAGAACTACTGAATGACTTTAGACAGCTAAGGGTTTATATCTACCATCAGCTGATTACTGTGAGGCTCAGACCCTGTAGATGTGTCAAGATACCCTGCTGCATCTCCACACGCTGCCCACAGAACAAAATCAACTCAGAACATCAACCATGAAGAACTCAGCCTGGGCTGAGCTGTACCTGTCCATAGATAGCTGAGCCACCAGAGTTACGTCGGTGCTGTCCGAGCTCGGCTCGTACTCGTAGTGTAGAAAGTACAGGTGAGTTCGATGGACGGTGAATCGCTCTCGGCGAAACTCGTAGCACGGATCGTCCTCATCGAGTTCTGAAAGAGTTTTCTGCAGCTGCGGGACGAAAATGGTCACAGACTTTCAGAATAAAGGTCAACAACGACGAGTCAGGACATAAACAAGTGGGTTTCTAGCTGATTACAAGGACTTGGGTGAATACTTTAGGAAGAGCTGCTGTGGGCCCGTTGCCATGACAACAACATTTCTACCAAATATTTACCTCTGATTAAAACTGAGTAATTAAATTTAGTCTGAAGCCAGGAGGACCTACGTTCTCACTGTTGTGGTCAGCCTCACTCGGACAGCCGAACAGTTCACGGCGCAGCAGGTTCCCGTCGTACTCCAGGAAGGTCAGATACAGGTTACGGAAAAACTCCACATGTTTGTTCTTCACTCGCAGCTTCTTTGGAGAGTTCCAGTGAATCACCTGTCCAGAACCAGGGAGGAGGGAGACCATATTGTGTTTCTCTGGGGGTTCTGGTCAGCACCTTTAGTATTGTTCTACATCATCCTCCTATTAAACAGGACATTGTAGCGTCATGAATGGCCTCTAATTTGTGACAAAGGTCACACTTTCCCAGCTGGGTCAAGCTGGGTCGAGCTGTAACTTTGCCCCACAGATTACCCGCCAGGAGCTGTGATGTCTGCTGAACAACATCTTTAAATGTATTTAAATTACTGAAATGAATTATTATGCTTTGTGTAATAATAATAATTATTATTATGATAATCAGTAATGTGTGTTCAGTAAACCAGAAGGTCATCTCGCACGTTAACCACCTCATGCAGAGGGTGAAACCAGGGTAAAGTTTAACTGCCTCACATGTCTTTATTTCATGACAACAAGCTTTCTGACACTGAGAGGGCGTGTTCTGAGGTTTTGTTAAAACCAAATTTCTGCAGCTGTAAGTTCAGTTCTTGAACCATACCAGGAGACGAGGGACGGCCGCCCAAGTCTCTGCTAAGCTGTTCTGTCACGCCGATAGACTTGCTTCGAATAAACACACCAGTAACCAGCTGGCGCAAAACTCCTTCAGAGTTAAGCCCGACGCAAGCTCGACACTGTGTACCCCGCAACATCTCTGGACCAGAGAGTCGGTTCCACTCGGGTCTTCTCTACCGGACCGAGTACCCTGAGGCTGACAACATCCTCCTTTGACCTCCTGAGCCACACAGAGGGTCGTCTGATGGGTGAGGTAGCACACAGATGGTGTCCGATGCTGTTTTCTCTAATAAACAACTGAGTTAGCTGCAAAACAACGTTTTCCATCCAGAACACGCTTCTCTCTCTGAAAGAAACCTTCTGAGATTCACTCAGTTCACCTTCCCTCTCCCTGAAGCAGTCTCAGACACCTGCATGCACGCATTCATAATTCCATCATCCTCAATCTTAGCACATCCAACACAAGGTCTATTTGTGCAAGCTTAAAATATCAACTGTTAAAGATTGTCCAACAAGGTTGCCAATGTTGATTGTTTTTCCTATGATTGTCATTTCAAATCGTTAGTTTAAATTGAAGAAATAAATCTCTTAAATTTTAAACTTGCCTTTTCATTGAACTGAAACAGACAAACGGATATGATCGTCAGTTTATCGATGAAAACAACCTTTGAGTCTTCTTATCTCTATAACATTTGGTTATTAATTTGTTAAAATTACTATTCCAGATTATTATGTAGAATGGTTCATCTTTCATGAAAGAGCCAAGAACCATTACACTACATATTTAGTTTTCCATCCAGACACAGGTTTGTTTAATTACAAGTTTTAATATCAAGCTGTGTCAAATTGTCCGTTACAAATTGTCATTTTTAAAGTGTTAGTAATAAATTCTTAACTTTTAAAAACCTGACTCTTCTTTGAAATGAAACACAGAATTGTGTATATTTTGGTTATTGAATAAGCAAAGATTCCTAACTTCTGATTCAATAAATAAACTTTTGCTATTAAATTTAATTATCTTAAATTAAACATTAATCTTTGGATTAAAATATAGACCAAGACAGTTAGTGTATGAACTTCTATCAATTGCATTAATATTCTAGATATTTGTGCATAATATAAGTTCATATGCTAATGTCCGATCTTTTCTCAGGATCTAACCAAACTGAAGCAAACAGTGTTAAATCCTTGTATGTAGTAACCACGCTACAACATGAACGCACCGTCATAGGCACACACTGATCTTTCAGTTGGACCCTCCAGAACCAGAGCTGTTGGACAGAACCGTTCTGCTGGTTCTGATTGAAATGAACTGATCCAACTCCTGTTAAACTCTGGTTGTTTCCATTAGCTGCATCAATTATCTAATTTATAATCCATAACACACGCGTTCCTGTTAGCATTTGCATTAGCTCAGTTTCCATTATGGTCCGTCTCCATCCACTTAGTAAACACGTTTCTTGAGAGCTTTGTGAGGACTCTTAGTTTTCAGGTGACCAACATGGCTTTAAAAAAATACTTAAAATAAAAACACTAAACTATCTTACTGATGTGGCTGAGTGCAGTTCTGCTCAAAGGCCCGGTTACTGGGGGTCAGGACTCAGAGTGGGTCCAGCAGAGTCTCACCTTCAGGTCCGATACGTCTCTGTAGCACTTCTCAGAGCGTGTGTGATCCGACAGCTGGACGTTCCAGAAGCAGGGCAGCTGGTGGACCAGGAACGGGTTCTGCTTGATCACGGCGTTGAAGATGTCCTGCAGAGAGAGAGGCCCATCTCACTACAGAACCAGAACCCACTTGACCTTTATAGTCCGAGGTTCTGTTTCACAGACTGGTTTATTAAAACAACAAGAGGTTTGGGCTCCAGGGTCCACCCGGTTTTAGGTTTGTTTCTGTTTAACAAAAGCAGATTGAGCGACCTTTGACCCTGATGTATCACAGCCATCCTGCTTGTTGTGTTTGCTATAATCCCTTGTGTGTGTGTGTGTGTGTGTGTGTGTGTGTGCGTGCGTGCGTGCGTGCGTGCGTGTGTGTGTGTAAAAATGTGTGTGAATGAGCTACCTGGTCTGCTAGAGAGGTAGACAGCATGCCCATCAGTTCTCGCTCTGCAGTCAACCTCCACATCTGCTCCCATCTCAGCTTCCGTAGTCGATCAAGGAGGAGCAAAATAACCCCTGGAAAACAAACATGCGCACACACACACTGAATAGGAGTTAAAATGATGACATAGACATTTATCTCAAACTAAAACCTGCTAATGACCACAGAACATCCAGGAGTAGATCTGGGCCCCAGGACAATACCACAATACTCCTTAATCTGGAGCAGAACCTCATTCAAAAATTCAGTTGGGAATCTACTGTGTCACAGCTGAGGTCATGAAAAGGGCACCTAAATCTCCCAACTCCCAAAGTACCCTTCAGAGACATGACCCTAGACTCCAGGTCAACTAAACACACGAAGACTGGTTGGGGGACCTCCCACGGACCCCCAAAGGTCCTCAATAGGTTAAAGAACTGGTCCCCATTAGTCCTCCTGAATCTGAAGTTTATCAGTCAGACTCTGCTACAGGACCTTTTGTGGGAGGTGGAGGAGTGCAGTGGACCAAACCCTCTGGTCCATCTTTTAAGGACGGGGCCAACCACTGCGATCTGTCAGGACTGAACACACAGAGTGAGCTGTCATACTGAAAACACAAAAATCCATCTTACTCTTGTTTATTAACAACGGCATCAGGACTTCTCTTCTGATTATCCTGTCACTTTGAGTAATGAACCATCAGCTGGGTTTGCAGTTTGGACTGATTGCTTTGTGAAACGCTCTAGCTGTCATGCAAACGTGACTGTAGTAGTCACATGATCATCCCTGTAGCTGACCAGGAACTCACCAGTGTTGAAGCCTCGGCCCAGAGCTGGCCAGGGCCGATGGTTCTTCCAGAGGTTCCCCAGGTACCAGTCACTCTGGTTCTCCACCAAACCCAGAACCTGTTGACCTTAACACAAACCAAAGAACATCCTCATGATGAATCACATTAGAACTCCACAGCGTCATACATAACAAACGTTTCTGTTTCTGTCCCTGCTCGTCTCCATGATGACCTCAGTCCAGCCACGTGCGGGGGTGGGGTGGACGGTAGGGGGGTGCTTGAGCACCTGCGCCCCTTTTCCAGTTTTTCCCTTTTTTCCGTCAGATTTTACCATCCAAAACTGCCACACTTGGATACAGATCAGGCACTGGGACCATGTGAAAGCAGCCCCCTCAAGCTGGAGTCTATTTCCCCTTAGACCTGCCCCCAAGCTCACTGACTGGCTCTGCAGCATCACGCTAATGTGTGATTGGCTGTCTCTGGTGTCGCTTTAACTCACAGCCATGGAGACGACAGACTGGTGTTTTGCTTATCGGCCGGAGTCTGCGTTCATCTACCTGTGAGTTTTTATTCTGCCTGCATCACATCATGCATGGATTTTAATCTTAGAGCTTTTGTTTCCATTAACATTTGAGTTTGTGGTTTGTGTGCGTGTGTGTGTGTGTGTGTGTGTGTGTGTGTGTGTGTGTGTGTGTGTGTGTGTGTGTGTGTGTGTGTGTGTGTGTGTGTGTGTGTGTGTGTGTGTGTGTGTGTGTAGCAGAGTGAGGTAGCAACATGTCAGAAAAGCCATGAGAGAGACTTCTGAAGTGAAGTTAGAGAAACTCACGCAACAAAGAATCACAAATGTTGATATTTCAATTCTCCAATTCATAACTTCTGAATGAATTGTTGATCAAATTAAAATAATTCCAATGGTTTCTAAAAGTACATAACACGAGGTATTACAAGATGTAATTCCCGTTCCTCCAAATATCATTAGTAGAGGGGAACCAGCTTTTCAGCATCACACAGAAAGAAACGGAGCGAACCGTGACGTGTGTGTGTGTGTGTAAGTGTGTGTGTGTGTGTGTATATACTTGTCTTTATATATGTAAGTGGACAAATTTAAACTTTAACCTGTAACATGTGGACATTTCTACATTGTGGGGACATTTTGCTGGTCCACACAATGCTAAGCACCCTAAAACTTGGTTTTAGAGGTATGGTGTGAATTAACTTTTATTAGGGTATGGGTTAGGCATAGAGGAGTCACTAAAACAAATGGAAGTCAAATGAGGTCTACACAAGCATATAAATACAAGTGTGTGGGTGTGGCCTTATAAGGAGAAAGGGTGGTATTCAGTCTGATGTTGTTGGGTTGGTAGCAGAGCTCTTAGGTTAAGTTCAGAGTGAGATCATGGAATTGGATCAAGAATTTCCTACAAACAGGAAAAATATCTCAGCTAACACAGCTGTATTCATCACACTGGATAACTTTCTGTGGTTGCATTTATTTTACTCATTTTACATGAGCTGTCTTTAGTGAGCACAAAGTTAATTTTGTTGTACACCTGTGCAATGACAATGATCTTGAATCTTGAATATTGTTCCATGTAGTTCCTGAAGGTGTCTTTTTAAGGCTAAATGAACAAAATGACAAATAGAGACAGAAAGACAACTTGGGTGTTCTCCATTTTTTCTTCTTTTTTAATGCATTGTATCACCACCTCGTATCAGGACTGGGAGATAATCAAATGTCAAACACCTTGGACTCAGATCAGGGGCAAAAACTGTGGCTGTAAAATCAGCTTTTAAAACAATTATTTATGAACATTATCTTCAACTGATAACACAAAATGAAATATTTTCCTAGTTTATATTATGATGTTTGAACCCAAGGATCTCGTTATTGGAATTTTCTAATTTATTGGATTAAAAATGTTGCTCTGTTTGTGCCCCTTCTTTTTTTTTTAACTTTGAGGACCCGCCCCTATAAAGGTCTGCACATCCCTGCCTCAGTCCCACCAATGCTGAGACAAGGGGGAATGAGTCAAGCTCCAGAAGCTCCCACACATGACCTTTGACCTTCAGAATCATCAAGACAACTAGTCTCTTCTTGTTTCTGTGATCTGGTTGTTTTTCTGTCCCTCGGGGAACAAACACGATCTGCTTGCTTTTTTTAAAACAGAACACAGGAGGAATATTTGTCCTCAGAGTTGTAAGGAGGTTGTATTTTTTATCGCATTGCATCCTTATTTACTTATTTATTTTTGTTTGTTTAATTTTAATATGAATCTTTGTTCTCTGGGTGTTAAACACATATAAATCCTTTTATTATTGTACGGTATGAGATGGAATGAAGTGGCACAATGAAGTATAAACAGGGAAATAACAATTATATTTTTATTCTCATTAATACTTCTGAATATTTAACATTCAAACCACAATTTATTGATGTATTTGTAAGAGCGCTCCATCAGGATGTTAGTTATTTAGATGAGTTAAGTTAGAATAGAGGAGGAGGAGAATAGAAACATGATGAGGGTCAAACATGAAGGTTTTAGTTATTTCATTTTGTTTTAGCTGGTTTATATGAAGCTGTTTCTATTTGCTCGTTTTTATTTGTCTGATTTCAATAAAAGTGTCTATGTTACACAAAAATACAGATTTTCTTTTAGAAAAGATTTTTAGATGCTGGATGGAGATCCTCGTTTTCACCAACCTGATGATTAAGCAGCTCCTCATGAACAGGAGACTCTTCTCCTCCACCTCCCACTGTCTGACCTGAGACTCTACTCCTGTAAGAACCATCTAACGTCCACAAACCCGCCATGACGACAATAAACTCTCTGCTCCGCAGGCAGACCTGTTCTGCTGCAGCAAACACGCAGCGCCACGCGCAGCCACTCCATGCTGGTGGATGTCGTGATGCAGATGCTTGTTTTCAACAAAAAGTTATTACAGCTTCGTGTAATATACACTTTATGCATGATGTGAACAAGTGTACTTTTAAAAACCTCTAATATCCTAGTCTAAAGCTGAAGCTGGCAACCCCACAGAGGAAAGTCATCTCAACTGCTTGGAACCAGAATCTTGTTCTTCTGGTCCCAGTCCTGATCTCAGGACCATAGGTGATGGTTTATAGGGACCAGTATCTCAGTTTAGCTTCGTCTTTAACACTACATGCCATCTCACAACAGATCCATCACGCCGTCTCTCCTCCACTAACGAAAAAGAAGCCAAGATCTCAGAACTCCAGAGACTCACTCTCCTGCCAGAAAGGCTACGGAAGCCACCTCTATGGACCCAACACCTGAGAGAACGTTCCAGGTAGAAGGTGAGGGAGGCGTCGCTGATTCCCCATGCCATAAACTGGTTTTAGGAACATCAACCGTGTTTATTGCTCCTACACACTGAGATTATATCAGGATCTCAGGATAATTACGGTGTTCTTACATTGTTTCCTTACTGAACGTCTTGAACAGAAGGAAATTTAGTTATGATCAGCAGCAGTCAGCTGGTTCAACACTGGGCCGCATCAGTGCCATCATAAAGTGGTTTTATGTTAACGCAACCTGCCACAGGACTTTAACTGCCACTTCAAAAGCAGCTCGCGGCTGCATGCAGAGCAAACGCAGCAGGAACCCGGCTGGTGTGAGCCTAAAGGACACAAAGAGAAGGAGAAAAACTGAAAGGAGGTGAAATCAAGAAGATAACAATCGTGGAAAGGAGGAGTGTGGTCTTGTGGACATTATGGAAGGCAAGCCGTGCCAAGATAAGGGTGGAGGCCTGAGGAGAAGAAAAAGGGTGTAGCGGTGGCAGCTTTAACGAAGGCTGTAAGGAAGATTAATGAGAGCCTATTGGTGCAGGCAGCAGAGAGCAGACAGCCTCTTCAGAGAGGCTGAAAACAAAACGCACCGAGCCGCCATCAAGGTGACACGACAATAAGAGCTCCGAGACCACGTTTACCGAGACGTCACTGGGTCGGGCTGCTGAAGGGGCGACAGGCTGATCAATGTTCAGAGAAATAATGTAATAAACCACGGAGCACCATTAAAGGTTTAATTATGCAACGAAGCAAAGAAAATGCATTGATTTTACTCAAGACGGCATCAGTCACTGGGTCACTCTTTAAAGGTAAAACATGTTGATTAGAAATCAGATGTTGGCTAAAAAACACGTTAATAAAGCCTGAAATCTTCTAACATGATGAAACCAACAACTAAAAAGGAACATCTCTTTCGTTTGGATTGTTTTATTTGTTTACCGCGTAGAAGTGGTGAAGGACTCTGAAAGGATTCCAGATCCCACAGGAGGACCGGAGCGTCCGCGGCTCATTAAAGCATCGTGCTGCACCACCAGACTTCACCACAGCAGGAACACACTCCTGATGTTTTTGGTTTCAGACTGAGAGTTCACAAGGTGTTGCTTCTGCTGCTCATTGATCCGTTTCAGCTTTAAGTTCAAGACCAGAGAGGAGAATATAACACTTTGGCTGAAATAAGTTTATTCCAACAAAAACATAAAAATTTATTAGATAAATCAATAAAATTACACAAATCTGTGAAATAATCCTGAGCATTTTTGAATAAGAACACCAGAGTGGGGGTAACGAAGGAGTCTTTTTGGGTGTGAGTCTTGAGATGGGGAGGAAGTGCTCGACAAAATAAAAGCATCTTAGCAATGTGAAATGTGGCAAATTAGCTGGCTTAATCATCTCATCAGCAGCAGTTTGGACGAGCTGCACACCAGATCCAGAGGGTTTTACTGAGAGACGACCAACCAGACTCACCCAGAAGCACTTCAACATTTAGGGATTAGGCACCAATCTGGTGGGGCGGGTCTAGAAGTTTGTAAAGCCCAGAACTAATCTAGAAAGGTTTGTCCAGATCACCCCGTGATGATCAGATCCAGCAGAGAAAACCTCCCTCAGCAGAACGGGGAACTGCAGATCAGATCAGCTGATCCTAGTTTTAGAAGTATTATTTGATTTATCCAATTGTTTCAAAAAGTGATAAACAGTGTTTTAAATACTTGTTTTTACTTCTTTTGTTGTTTCTAGCCGATGTTCAGAACCCTCAGAATTTAATGGCCACTGGTTCTGAGAAGCGGACACCAAGGGGTCTCAGTGCTGCCTTCTTCCTCTTCTCAGGTCAGGTTTATATTAAAGGAGACAGCCTGAAACTGTGTGAATGCAGCCCATTAAAAGAACCACTCTGACCTCTGACCCTTATGGTTTCACATCACTAAGAGCCCCTCAAGGGTGAAATACAAACACTAACAATTATGTTGATGAGCTAATTAACCATCCTCCTCCAAAGTCAGTGTAGTCGGTGACTGAGCTGCAGGAAACTGATCTGATTGGAGGAAAATGAACGACTCCAAACACACAACAAGACAAAATCAGAGCCGTACCTTTGAACTTGTGGAAGACAGCCCAAAGTTCAGCGATGTCAGTGGCAAAAGTGATGTCCGTGTCCAGAACGATGACTCTCTGCAGGTCTGAAGGCAGCGTCTTGGTGAGCACCAGCTTCATCAGACCGTAGATCCCAGAGTAATGCTTGTTAGGGATCCAGGACACCTCTGACTGGAAGTCCACAGCAAGGAAGTAAAGCCAGTAAGAGTTTGTTTTATTTAGAGAGATATACTAAAACTCATGAAAGCCTGTCTGACTAAAGGCTTTTTGGTGTGTGTGTGTGTGTGTGTGTGTGTGTGTGTGTGTGTGTGTGTGTGTTGAGGAGGTTGTCTCTGACCTTTAGCTCATCGGCATCGTAGAAGTTCACCTTGACAGCAGGAACCATCCAGGTATGAAACAGAGACGACAGGATGTGCTGAGCGATGGAGTCAGTGATGACATGGAAATGAAGAGGGTTCCGTCTGCAGAGACACGCAAACACACACACACACACACACGCCAGCGTGAACAAGACTTGTCCTCCTAAAGCACCACAAAGGTCTCCTAAAGTTGAACGTGAACACAGATCAGCCTCCCCTAAACAACCTGGGTGTAGGTGGATCTGATGGGTTTTGAAAGAACAAGAACCCACAAACGACAGATTTTTAGGAAATCTGAAGTCAAATCAAAGTCTAAAAATACTGAACTCTTGTGAAACATTTGATCTGTGACTATTAGAGAACACCAGAGCAGTTTTCCTCTTTTGTTTTCTATGATCCTTTGTTTACAATGTCAGAGCGAATCTATGGATGAACACTGGAACACCGCAGCAGTAGGGAACAGGAATCTCCAGGACTTCAAGGTCCGGTCCAGAGGACGTGACTCCAACCAGAGGATGTAGCTTGTGTCACCGGTTGAAACGTGTCACTCCTCTGAAACAGTTGCAGCAGTCTCTCCTCCAGACATCCAGATGGGATAAAAGTCTGCAAGACCATCCTGTCTGCATTTTCTACATGACCAATCTCATAGGAACAAATGAATGAACACACACACACACACACACACACACACACACACACACACACACACACACACACACACACACACACACACACACACACACACACACACACACACACACACACACACCACCCTAAGGCTTTTCTGATCTCTTCTAGGACTGTCAGTTAGGAGTCTGTTCTCTGGTGGCCCTGCTGTCCCTTTTTGGGTGACGCCAGTTTCTGATGAATCCAGCAGGGCTCATCATCCTGCTGCTGGTGGACAGGCTGGAGTGATGGCAGGCCAGAATCAGTCACGTGGTGAGAGCCTCACCGCAGCAACGAGTAAAGGGGTGGCTTGGATTTGATTTACAGCGTTCCCTAAACATAATTCCATCCCCAGAAATAAACAACTGAACAGAAACTACCATATACAGAATAAAGGAGTAGTGTGTTTGTCTCCACAGAGAATTTAGAACATGTTGAATATTTCATAACAGATCAGCTGACAACACAGGGAGGACAGATATAGGAGATCCCAGGTTGGGTCCCAGCATCAGTCCAATATTCAGAAAGTGTTTAGTGTTGATAACAAGGTTGTACATAAAGGTAAAGTCACCTTTACTCTGAGATAAAACTAAATAATTCAGCTCAGATGGGAGATCTTTACAGGTTTTACCTCCATCCCATTCGCTCTGAAGGATAACGAACGTTCTAGCAGGGATGGAGGGGCTGTTCTGTACCTGTGAAACAGCACTGACTTGACCAGCGTCACTACGTCTCGACTCGCGTTGTAACCTGCACATATGATGGCCACATGGATGGTCTGGGGACAAGAAGAAAAAACATTTTTAACATTTTGGATGATCTTGCTGAACCTTCTAGAAGAAGGCTCGAACAACATCCCTAATTAAAACGCCTCCTGAGTCTACGTCCACACGTTGTGTCTTACTTCACACTTGTCCACGACCGGCTGCTGCGCACAGTCAGAACCATTTCCTGCTGCAGCGTTCCTCTGGCCCTCGTTGTCCCCCGTGCCCTCTTCCGAGTGAGGCCGGCTCTGGTTTCCCCGTCGCGCGTCACTCGGGAGGCGTGCAGACAGGTTCCTGGGCGGCCGGCTGAGCTCGCGCCGTAGCGCCTTGTTCTCCTCCTCCACCGCTCGGACCCTCAGCTCTAAGGCCTGCCGTTCGCCAGCTCCGCCCACTGGAGCGGACGACTGGGCTTCCAGTGGAGACAGAGGGAGAGGCTTTACTGTGGAGACAGGAAGGGAAACATTCATCATGGGGACCAAACAAAACCTTAAAAAGCCTGCGAAACATCATAAATGAAGCCAGCAGCAGGTGGCTCTGATCACTGATGAGCTGGATGGTGACTCCTCTGTTCAATGTGACACTAAAACACAGAACGAACCAACCATCCACCATGTTTCTGTACAGCCCTCTGCCTAGGAGCACCCGACTGACCCATATCATAACAGAGTGGAATATCTTTACCTGCTGACCCAGAATCAATCATCAGGGTGTCATGGGCCCGGTTCTTCTTCCTGCCAGGTCAAATCATCTGTCTATCATCTAACCACAAACATCCCATAGCAAGGGAAGACTGTGGTGGACTGTAGATGTCCCCTCAGAACAAAGACAAACACTAACATCAACTCTTTAAACATCAGCAGAAACCATCTTAGTGTTTGACACGAGTCCTGTCTGCAGCATAATCTCACTAATCCAGTCTCAAAACAAACCTTCCCTTCACATGCTGTCCACAAAACTGCAAACCTACAAATCTACTTCAGGTACGCTGACCTGGTTACCATAGTGATCCTAATAAACCACTGGGAGCAGTGTCCGGGCTCTCGGTGATGTCTTTTTCTGCGTACATCATTAGATCTCACCAGTTTGTTTGCTGGGGCAGGTGAACACCCCAGGCCTGCACGCTGTCAGGCTGATTTAAACTAATCCTAATCATCTTACTGCTGTCCTGCTGGGAGAAGCAGCAGTTGGAGCTCAGCTGCCATATGTGCAACATTAGCTCTAACAGGACGAGAACCTAACAGACTACAGTCTCCCAGAGCTCACTACAAAATACAATCCAACATAGATTTATACAAGCAGCAAAACAACACCAGTAAACTAGTCACGTCTTGACACGGCTAACTACAAAGAGAGAATCTGAAGGTCAAATTTAATCATTTTTATTACATTTACAGTAGGCCTGGGCGATAAATCGATTTAATTAATTAATTTGAATTTTTTGTTGCGGGTGATTAAAAAAAGTAAATCGATTTTTTAATGTAATAGCGCCTTTTATGGCCACCCAGAGCTTCCGTAACGTTAGTTTCAAATTACCGTGACAACAACGAAACAGCAACAGCAAGCAACTCCATGGCCACAGGTGAGAGTGGGAAGTTTGTTCCTAAGAAAGGAATTAAACCATCCGTTGTTTGGAACTGGTTTGGGTTTGCTGTGACGGACATGGAGCAAGAGACGCCATGCTGCAACTTTTGCTTAAAGACCACTGCAGTCAAAGGAGATGGCACCACAAACCTGTCCCAACACCTGAAACAGAGGCATCCAGCCGAATATGAAAAAAGCCAATATCTCTGGGACAAACAAAACCGCGGTCACCAACAACAAACAATAGCTAAAAAAACAGCTAACTGTAGCCGCACGTGACTTAAAACATAGCTGGCCTTTTATTCCAAGAGGGTGTTCATTTATTCATTATTCATCTCAGAAATGAGGGTTACATTTGTCTCGCTTGTGATTAAATAAAAAAACAAAATTGGCTTTAAGGTGCCTTCCATTTGTACTTATTGCTATTCTTAATAATTGAGAGGGAGAAAGAATCTGAAAAAATTTGTAAATCAAATAAAAAATAAAGAAAATTGGGGATTTTAATTTTAGGCTGTATCGCCCAGCCCTAATTTACAGTGGTCTCTAGTGGAAATCAATGCCTTGAAAGTTGTACTAGAGGGAAAAATGCTCCTGTTTGAGGATGTAGAATTCAGCCGGAGGAAAAAGTAGCTTCAGACGACAGGATTGGAGTCTTACTTCCTGATATTTGGACATCTGACCTCTGATTGGCTAAAAGCAACACAACTCCACTGACTCTGTTTTCTTTGCAATGTCGATGTTTTATCTCCACAAATATCACAAGCCTGGAGGAGTTCTGCTGTGCGGTGGAGTCGCTAATGCTAACAGTTAGCTTTTACTATTTGATACGTGCTCTGCTATTTCCTGGACGTTAAACCAACCACAGCTTTCCCCATCGAGAGTCAAGATGGGTGAGTCCGTGAATGTTAAGTGACAGTGTGACGTAGATCTGTCAGGATTTTCTCAGCTTCTGTCAGAAGCGAAGGCAGAAAATAGGCGTAGAAGACTATTTTCATGTCCAGCCTGCATGTTAAACTCAGAGTGACTGATCATTTTCAAAAATAATAATTCAGTGAACCTGCTCTTTAATGCTATCACACTTGACTTCTTCTGTCTCAGTGGTGCAGAGCTGATGGGGGTGGGGGATGGTAATAAGCTAAGTGTGTGCGAGTTAGCTGAGGACCAGTAGACTATATGGTTCAGACTGTTGCATTATGGGAGTGTTCATTCAACCCCAAAGTCAAAACTGTCATTTCCTCCTAATTAATAATGACATTACAGCAGGATTTTAATCCTAATAGTTTGGGGCATTAAGTGGCTTCAGGACTGTAATCAGCTTTGGATCGGCCTCAGTGACTCATTAATTCGCCCCTGCAATAGAAAGACAGCAGGAAAGGGTGACTTTGTCTGCAGGAAGGTTTTAGAAGGACTTCAGGTTTGACTCACACGTGGTGGAGACTAAAAACCTGTCTCACACTCCATCAGCTGGACATCCAAGTCCTCCAGCATTACAGAAAATATAGAACTATCCTAGAAATGGTCTCACCAGACTACAGTTAGAACATGAATGCAGAAAACAACACTGGAGAGCTGCTAAGCTACACCTATTTGTGTTTGTGTTTCTTACCTTGAAAACTTCCAACCGACAGGTAAAGCCAGGTGAGTGCTGGGATAAAGAGTAAGGCGAGGGAGACCGCCAAGAACTTCCTGCGCCCACGACACATTCCCAGCATCCTCTGAAGTAAATGGGAAGAGAGGCGAGGCGACCTCTATGTGGGGAGCAGCTGTTGTCCGGGCCGATTCATGTTTCTGCAGTTTAGAAACAGACGGAGACTTTTAGTCTAGAAGAAGTAGATGTTTCACATCCTAGCAACAGAAGACGTTCCTGCTCACTTCTAACTTTAATCTTTTTGACTGTTTTGTCACAAATTTCCTACTTTTTTAGAGAATTACCAACATTATTCAAATTATGGAGATTTTACCCAACATTCAGCTCTTTAAAAAAAAATCTGGAATGCAGCATCTCACCTGGGATAAAGTAGGACATGGAACTAAAAACAGAAATGGGGTCATCATCATCTCCCCCGTGACAGGTGAGGACAGCCAGGATAGAAATTTAAGGTACCACACACCTGTTCCCATCTGTAAAGCTAAACATCTCTACCACCTCTGTAAAAGCAGCAGGACGTAGACTCATCCAAACATAAATACAGTCTCATCTGTTCATCTGATGTTGGTTGGTTTCCAGAGAACCAGTCCGGGTTTCTATATGGACCTAGTCAAAATCCTAACTTTACCTGTGACCCACAGCAGAGGAGGGGCCACGGTCATACTATCGTTACACATCCTTTCTACTCAAAGAGACAGGATTCGGGTCTGGTCGGGACCGAACAGCGGTCCATATATTGGATTAGGAAGGTTCAGGTATGATGAGAGGAGGTTTATGTGGTACTTCATCAAAATATGTAAAGGAAAGTGAGGTGGAGCATCATGTACGGTGTCCCTGTCCAGCTGGACACAACCAATATCAAAGACTGAAAGCTTCAGTCCTTCTGAACCAGATCTAGTTCCTCCATGTGAGGACCGGACCTCCTGAACCAAGGTTTAGGCAGCTCACTGAAGGCAGGGTAGGTTTCTGCACTGAAACTCAGGAATTAATTTTCTTTCATTTGTTTATTGTGTGAAAAAAGCACTTTGATGAGGTATGGACAGCTCTTAAAAGGGACATGAGACGGAATTATAGTTCTTTGGTCTAAAACATGTTCATGCAACTCTTTACACTAAACCCCTCTCACATGAAGCAATTTCAGCGGCTTTATTTTTGAGTTTCAGTACCTTCCAGAATGAGCCATTTCAGGGCTCTGTCACTAAGAATACAAGCTGGAGGTGGCCACGCCCACCCGTCACCTTATTGGCTGCTATCACAGCTGATGTTAAAGTTCCCTTTGTATACGATGTTGAGCTTTGTAAGCCTGAAAGCTCGGGGTTAGTTCAAACCCAACCCTGAACCACTCCAAGGATGGACCTGAATGGTTCTGGTGTGGAGCACAGTGGATTAAGGTGGCACTAAGCCATTTCTCACCTGCTTAAGTTTGAGATATTTTATCTCACCAGGTGTACTGGTAGATGTTAACATAGCCATGGTGGATGCCAGCAGCACCGCCTTTAACCACAGTTACTAAGAATGTAAATACACAATTTAACAATTATGCTGGGAACAGGTTTGTTTCTTTTTCTTTAATAATTTTTTAAAGCTTTGTGAAAACATCAAGAGTTTAAAAGGTCAAGCTCTTTTTGAAAAACAGACTGTTTACCCCTTCAGCACCCAACTCTTCTTCAGCTGCCATTCCTGCTTTTTATTTCCTGTTAGGGCAGCAGTAGATCAGGAGGTAGAGCGGGTTGTCCAGTAATCAGAAGGTTGCAGGTTCAATCTGCTGTTGTGTCCTTGGGCAAGACACACAACCCACCTTGCCTGCTGGTGGTGGTCGGAGAGGCCGGTGGCACCTGTGCTTGGAATGCCTCACCTCTGTCAGTGTGCCCCAGAGCAGCTGTGAGCGTCATTGTAGCTCATCACCAGCAGGGTGTAAATGTGTGTGTGAATGGATGAATGATAGTGTAAACAGCTTTGGAGTCCTCTGACTCAGAAAGGCACTGGAGACCCCTACTGTTTAAAATAGGAATGACAGTAGTATTGGTTAAATGTGGTAAACTGAAGTAATTCTTTGACCCTGATCATGTGGATCAGCAGATATTACAGACTAAATGAAGTTTATAGTGTTTAGAATAAAGAAAGAGTATTTGACAGGTTAAACATCTGCCTCCCGGAAGGTTTTTAAATTTTGAGCTAAACTTCATTTTTTTGTATTTGAATCAAATTAGAGTCTGGATTTAGTACCGTAGTTTTTTGTAATTTGTAGTTGTAATATATTATAATATCTTAGCTTATAATGCATTACATTATGTTGATGTGTGGTGTTGTTCAAGCAGTAGTAGTTGCAGTCATTATTCTGAATAAGATGATTGTAAGAATAATAATTACTACTGTTCTAACTCATCTTTTTGTCTGTATCCGTTTTCCTTTTTGCTGCCATCTTTGTGTTTTAATTGCTATAAAGTAATTTGTGTTGCATAAAGTTTGATTCATGCCAAACTGACCCCAGCATGACAAATGAGAAAAAGATTGAAGGTTTCGTTCCTAATACAAACATTCTACATATTCCTGAAGCTAACCACAAGCTAACTCCACAGAGGTCATAGGGGGTCATTGTTGTGTGTGTAAATCTGTTAGGGGTCACAGGTATGCACTCAGTACTACAAAATACTAAAAAAAAAATTTCATCTCCAGTTTTTTAAACTATCTACCTCACAACCTCAGCACGAACTAAATTGAAGGGACCCCCTAAAATCTCAAAAAAAAAAAAACCCTTGAGTGGTTACAGACCCCAGATTGGGAACCACTGATATATATATTCAATCTAAGGCTGTGTCCAAATTCAGTGGTTGCATGCTCATGAGTACCCGACCCGTCCTCATTGGTCTCAGGAGAACATGTTCTTCCGTGACCGGTTAGACCGGATGTCAACAGCTGCGAATTTGGACAGTCTAGCCTTAAATAATAGTCCCGCCCCTACTTCGGCGGATGTCCTCCTGTCACCTAGCAACTGCTACCACACTAAAGCTGCAGAAATGGAGCTTGCACATTTTAAACCTTCTCCTTGTTTTGTTACTGTTTGAAGCTACAGCAGATGTAGCGCAGGCATATTTTGAATGTCAGGTCGAGACACAATGGCACGCTGGTTTAGTATTATTTACCATTTTTTTTAAGTCTAACAGCTCTTACCAATTTCATGTCAACCTAAGATAGCTTCATGACACGAGTAAACTGGGGTACTGAAAAACATGAAAAGGTTATATCCATCTGTGTGATATCCCACAGTGCATCTCGGGATTTAGAGAGATGAGACTACACCGCGCCTGTTCTCAAAATCTGGGAAAAGAAGAACGGATTTCAAGACCGCATTCTCAGCACTCTTTGAATTTAGACAGTCTTCGCTGCGGTGCTGTGACGTCACTGGTCATAAAATCCCACCTCATGAGCATGCAACCCCTGAATTTGGACACGGCCCATGTCTTTCTTTAAGTGTTGATGTGGATGCCCTCTGCTGGATCCACTGGACCAAGTTACCTGATCTGGGTCCTGATGTTTGTACTGGACCCTGACGTCTGACTCTGGCCCTTACACCTGATCTGGACCATGACTTCTGTTAATGACGATGGTGGACGATGATGACAGAGGAGTACATGTCTGCCCTGTAACTGGAGGGTGTCTCAGTCACTCTACTTGGAGGAAGTGGTGGCGACGATTGTTTAGCAGCCTCACATCTGCCCGTTAGCCCCAAGGTAGTCATGGCTCATCACCACCGATGTGTGAATGGGTGAATGACTGTTTTGTTGTAAAGCACCTTGGAGGTGGGGTTCATCTTGAAGGTGCTTTTACGAACACGGTACACCCATGCTGTAAAGCTGTCCTCACCACAGACTGACTCTGTAGAGCATCCTGGGGAGCTGCCTGTATGCCGGTCTGGTATGTAAACAGAATCATATCGGATCACAAGGCCCACAGCAGATGGTGAGAACAGCTGAACAGATCACTGGAGTCCAAGTCTCACACAGGCCATACCACAGAGGCTCCAGGGCTTGGGTCCAGCAGGAAGGTCCTCATATTTCTGCTGAAGTAATGTGTCATGTGAAACTGACAGCAGTGTAAAGGTTTTTAAAAACATGTCATGTGAACTGCTGGGAAAATTAGGAGAACACCAGTGGAGCTGGTCAAACCGAAAGGAACATCAGAGGGACCAGAGAAATCAGACAAGACCCAGAGGAACATAAAAGAACCTGAAAGGAACATCAGTCACCAGTGAAACTTTCAGAAGGATAAAACCTGTGTGTACCTGCAGCAGCTTCTGCTGCTCCAAACTGGAGTTCTGCTTTCTGTCTGCTGCAGGTCAGACACTGACATGGCATCAGGAGGTCCAACCTCCTTAAGTCACCTCAGACGTCACGTGAACAAGACTCGTACTAGTGGGTCAAATCAGGTAACTGCTCCAACAGGTTTCTGTCATCTGGGAGCAGAACCGCTGCAGCCAACAGGCGGAACTTCTACCTATAGGTACCACACATCGACATTAGTGACGTCAGTAGGACGCGTCAGAGCATTTTTTGACGATGGGAGACTGGTCCAGTTCTGGTTCCGATAAAACCAGGCTCCCTTTGACCGGCGTGATACTCGGCTGCTTTATAAAAGTTTGGACCGGATGGTTCTTGTCTGCTCCGAATCTCTCTCTCTCTCTCTCTCTCTCTCTCTCTCTCTCTCTCTCTCTCTCTCTCTCTCTCTCTCACACACCACACACACACACACACACACACACACACACACACACACACACACACACACACACACACACACACACCTCATAAATGTAAACACGATACTCAGACCAAACACAGTTAACTCCTCTGATCCAGGTTCTGGACGGGTCCATTGTCAGTTCTACTCACCTGATGCAGAGCGGTTCCGAACTGCAGGTCATAAAAAACAGTAGGTCCAAACAGCCGGTGACAAGCCCGTTCCGTTCGGTCCGCTGAGTGAGAGCATGTACCGGGATGCTAATCCGATCCGGTTACTCAGCTGTTGGCCCGGTTCACCAGAACCACCAGCGGACCTGTTGGGGGTTCTCCAGGCTGCAGAAAGACTTAACCCCGAACGTCTCACGTCGGCTCCGGGCTCAGGTACTGTAACCAGCAGCCAGCGCTCAGACGAAGCAGAACCAGAACAGAACCGGAGCAGAGCCTTACGAGCCGCCGACACGGTCCGTCAGCCTGTCCACCGAGACGTTCCGGTGTCGTCCAGGTCCTGGATGGGTCGCAGTTCTGGGCCTCAACACCCCCTCCTCTTCCTCTTGACGAAGACCCAACGTCCAATCACGGCTCCGGAACCGGGAGGGACGGGCTGGAAACAGGACTGGATCCTACTGGAGCGGAGTCGGTGCTGAGTTCGGACCCGAGGCGGGCTTAAGCCGTTGTTGGAGAATCACCTGAATATGACCAGAGTCATTAATGAGCTGCTGGTACAAGTGTGACCCATTCTTCTATTATAGTTCTCCAGCACAAGCCTGCAGATTCATCAGTGCTAACGTCATTAAGACGCCTTCATGCTGGTTTTAGTAGATCACAGTGTAGGGAGACAGTTTCTGTTTGTGAACAGCAGTGTGACTTTATTTATTTGTTTGTTTATTTATTGTGGTGGGGCACATTTTTGCAAGTTAGTTTTCAGATACGCTCTTATCTAGGGTACGCCAAATCTTATGCATTACACAACTTGAACCCATTAGACCAAAAACATGCTTAATATTCACCAATTCATGCAAAAGTGCACATGTACTTAACAGGAAGAGGCTCGTCTAAATGATAGGGTCCATGTTTTCTACCTCAACAACACCCAGTGACAATAAGCCACTAAATGAAAAGGCCCTAAAAAGACGCTAAATACACATACAGAGAAAAATACAGAGTAGCAACAATGTTATATGATCCTATCTGCAGAAGCAGCTATTTAAATTAAAGCCCGGACTCTCGTCTTGCAAACAATATAAGTACCACTCTATCTGCAAAAGTCACGGAGCAAGTCACAAACGCAGTAGCACAACAGCTCATTTCATGAAGTCAAAAGTGTAAATTCAGTCTTACCTTTACTGTTTATGGTCATAACAATCCGTGTTATAGTAAAAAACATCCACCCAGTTTGTGTAATCAAATTTCCCAACGTCACACTGAGCTGGTTCCTGACTGCTTTGGGCTTTTTTTTACCTGCTGGTAACAAATCTCCAACGTGACGCCACATTCAATAATTTTCTTGTTTACAGTGTTCCTCTTCCTGTGATTGGTTAATACGAAAGCCAGTCAAAAAGACTCAACAAGCAATTCTATTGGCTCTGTGTGAGCATCCTGAACTGAGATTCCGTTCTTCTGCGCATGACTGGATCGCACACCTCTGCTACCAAAGGCTCTCTAATTATTTGCATTGGAGAGGGATCGAGCAAGCCCGAAAAGGAACAGGAAATACGTCACAAGATATTTTGGTTGTGGTAAAAATGTGAGAGGACATTTTAAACAACACTTAATGTAGATTATACAGAGAACTTACAGTATGTATGTTGTATAGATTGTTAATATTTCATGTTCTTCTTCTTCCTCTTCACGTGAGACTGCCCCAGCGCCCCCTACGGATGAGCCGCCGTCAGTGAACAGTCTCTTGATCCCTGACCGTCTGTCCAATTTAACCCGCTTTTTGGGTCAGGGGCCTCAGGTCTCCCCCTGTGGGATCCCAAGACGTTCCGTGGCCAATGTGGAGATACTGACCTGGTGCCTCCTGCCAACAGGACTATGACTGTTTGACTTTACAAATGACACCCCATACAGGACAAGCCCAAAACACCTCTCCTGTGAGGTGTTCAAGAGGAATTCTGACCAAATGCCCGGACCTCCACAGCTGGCTCGTTTCAACGTGGAGGAACAGTGGCTACACTCCAAGGCTGTGTCTCAATTCAGGGTCTGCATCCTTCGTCGGCCAGTTACGTCACAGCGCCGCGACCAGGCCTATCAATTCGAAGACTCCTTCAAATGCGGTCTACGAATTCGGCCTTCTTTTCGCCTGAATGAAGGATGGGTACGGTGTATCCTTCAATGGTTTACATTTCCCAAGATGCCTTGCGGGCCGGACGGTAGAACTTTTAAAAACAATGGCGGACAGTGAAGCGGGAGCTGTCGGAGAGGATTGCGCATATAAATGTCAGTATAAACTTGAAAACTGTTAGGTTAAGGACTTTTTGTGATACGTTAACGTTATTTTAGTTAGAAATGTTACAGTAAAAGTGCTTGTATTGCAGTCTCGGCTCGTATGTTCGGCCGCTCGGTGTCGTACTTCTCCCGCTACGTTTTCCCCCTGATTTTAATAGAAGTTTGTATTTTAGGGACAAAAGAGAAAACCAGGGAATGTATTAAGCTTAGGGCAAAGATGGACCACATGATCACTGGAGAAAAGTATTCGGCAGCTGTGGCATGGAGGTACAATAACATCTCATATTTTAAAAACTGTCGTTTGAGTTTAGTTTTTTCTGCGAAAACATGAAAGGAATAACCCATTGTCCTCTTTTCTCTTCCTGTTTTTTTTCTTACATGTTTGTTCAGACTATTCTGGAGAAAATGGGCATCCAGGGGAAGGTGCCAGCGATGACCAGCTTCTGGAGCTGATCAGGGAGGACATGAGGCTGCAGAGGGAGGCAGAGCTGCAGAGGGCACAGAGAGAAGGGAGAACTTTGACAGCTTTTTACTTTGCTAGAAAAAAATGGTTAAGAAAGATTAAACATGTACATATAAAAGAAATATCTAAATAAAATCAATTCTGTATTAAACACTTGAATTTTATTTTTGTTTACAAATGTGAATTGTTTAATATTACAGGGTATCTGCTGGGTCTTGAAAAGTCTTAAAAGGTGATAACTCGGTTTTGGTCAAATTAAGACCCTTAGAAAGTATTAAAGGCTATTATCACATCTTTGCTCAGGCTCAGCTTGTCGAAAGTATTTTCTCTGAATTAGCTCTCCAACAGTCAAGTAAATTATTAAAAAGCTAAATAAAACTTCCAGCTCCATCACAATCAATTTCCCTCTGGGATTAATAAAGTATTTTTGAATTTGAATTTGAAGTTCCTCCTCCCTTCTGCTCAGCGGTTCCACGGTTGCTAGGCGACGGAACGTTCGCAGAGGGAGTGACGGGAATTCATGAAGGCTAGGCCTGTCCAAATTCACAGCCGTTAACATCCGGTCTACCCGGCCGACGGAGGACCCAGCCCACGTCGGCCGAGTAGTCTGGGTCCTTCGAAGGATGCAGACCCTGAATTGAGACACAGCATAAGTCTCTCCCTGGAGTCCAAGTTTCTAACTCTCCAGAGGAAATTCATTTTAAATGCTTGAGTTCATGATCTTGTTCTCTCTGTCATACCACCTTACAGTGGTGAAGGAGTTTCGGTGCCCTAATGACATCAGCAGCTATGTTGTCTGGAGGTATTTTGGCCCCTGGTTGGGTCTCCCAGGGCAAATTGGTCCAAAGTGAAGGGCGAGACAAAGGCGCAGCTCAAAAGACCTTTTATGAGTTTAACACAATTTAACCAAAGTGCCCAGCCTGGAGGGTTGCCAGACCCAACCCTGGAGCCAGACCTGGTATTGAGGCCCATGTGCCTGGTGTTTGGGCATTCACCCAAGGAGTCTGATTGGACTCAGCTCAAACCAGTTACAGGGACTCATCCACGTGCAGGAGGAACATGAAAAGTTTGGTGCAATGTGGATCAAGTGGCAGAGGCTTTGGCGGGCCGATCCCCAGATTCATATTGGATATCTGATTGGTGTTTGCGAACACAGCTGGAGTCACACACAATCAAGAGCTTTGACTACATGACTAAAACACATAAACACCAGGAAGAGGAGAGCCAATCAGCAACAACAGATGGAACTGTGTGATGGGACCCTGATCTGCAACTTGAGATCAGGTGGAGACGTTTCTGGCTTTCAATAACATAAACAGCTTAAAATGTCAGTTACTGTGGAGGTTGGGGTTAATTATGGTCTCTGGAGTACCTTGTGCGTTGTCTTCATTGCAGATAAAGGCCTTTTTTAAGAAACGCTGATGATTAATTCACCAGACTGTTCTTCAGGTAGAACTGTAACCTTTAGTGTTCATCTGAGCGAGGGATGGGTCTGAAAGCAGCAGCTCGTCCAGCCTGAAGTGAAGCTCCGACACCCACAGATTGATGAGTAGGTGTGTGTGATGGATGAGGAGTCAGCTTTGTCCTTTCTGTTGGTGCCTGGGCAGCATCACGCTGCAGAGCCACTCAGCTCTCTGCTCATAGAACACTGCCACACAAGTCAGACACCAGGAAACACATCTCACAACGTGAAGTTTCATCAGGTCCAAGACAACTGAAGGTGAAATCCAAAATCTAAGGCAGATGTTATGCATTCTTCACACAAACCCATTTGTGGTGCATCAGTGTCCACACATGAGGAACAAAGATATAAACAGTGGCATGACAAAAACACTGAGACAACCAGTGCTGCTGTTATTCAGATGATTTTAAGGCAGTGATTCATGCGTGTTGATGACAAATGGAGACTGAGACGCTGATCAAGGTGGTCTGTTTCAAACTGATTCAGTGTAAACACTTTGATAGACTACAGACATTCTCAGTTCTCGGTCTCTTTGGTACGAAACAAAGCAAGAACCATCCTGGGTCAATTGTTTCAGGAACAATGCTTTTTATCATCCAAGATATGCTTTTAAAGTTTAAGATTTAGTTTCAAAATCCTATTCTGAGACAATATGTTATTACATATATGCTGTAGCGACTCCTGCAAGGACCTTTTTACAGGCCAGCTTAAATCAGCTGCAAAAGGACTACAGCTGAACACATCAGGTTTCAGCACCAGCACAGTCAGCAGACATGTTTGTCACGCTGAGGGAAGGAGGCTTGGATCCAAAATGCAGTAACACAGGCAGGAGTGGTTGCAAAATAAGAATTCTTTATTTAGGAGGAGTT